AAGCAGACTAACAGGACGGCAAATCGCCTCCCGCTGCCCTAAGCCTAACGCTCGGCTGGGTCGACGAAGGCGGTCGCCGAACCGACCGCCATCTTTTTTTTACCCGAGTCGTGAACGGTGCTGGCTGCATTGCGGTGACGACTCCAGCGGCCGGAATGGGAGAAACGAACGAGAAGAGTCTCCCGACTCCCCGAACGACTCGCGCGCGCATGCGCAGTGGCGTCTCGGATGCGTTCGAGGGCGAACCGTTCGTGTGGAAGCGACCTGCTAAAACTCCCTAATCACGGTTGGTCTAAACGGATCGACAGGTTTGCCACCCATTTGATTAAACGGGTCGACCAGTTTCCCACCCGCTTGACATTTGAATGTTTTCTTTTTCAGTAGGGTCTCGATCAAACTTCAAGTGGTTGCGTGAAATTGCATCACAATATCAATATATGTCTTGATGTGCTAAGTACGTAGCGGCTTGTTTTGAAGCATATTTATGTAACGACATGACAATGAATATGTAGGGTCAATACATATTCAACTCAGAGTAGTTGAGTTTGTGTTAAATAAACGCTTTTTCAGTCGACGAAAAAACAACCATATTTGGTTATGTTTTGTGCTGTTCAAGTGATTAGGTAGTGTACCTAGAGGTCCAGTAACTAAACAATGTGGAAGGCGATTCCCATCACCAAACGTGGCAAAAAAATCAATCTCGCTTCTTTTTGTCTTGCGAAATACCTGTGTGCTCGCCAAATTCATGAGCACATATACTCTGATCTTGTTTATCTTCTAGTCTTCAGCATGGTTTTCAACGCGGTCCAAACGTTTCTATTCATCCGAAATCTGAGTTATCATACCAATCCTATATGAGTGCTCCCAACAGTCACTTAGCCAACAAAACACAGGACCCAGTTCCAGTCACCCAAATCGAGTTAGGCGCGACCAACATTGGACGTTTCTACAATGAAGCAATAGCATACCTTGCACTGATAACTGAGTCGAAGCACCTCCTTAGGGTTAGAATCGGTCCTCTCGCCGTAGACGAAGTAGTCGAGAGCATAAAGTTGAAAATTGGGCGAGTTGGTACGACATACTTTAAATGATGTCGTACCAAGTCATGTTTACGCTCAAGACTTTTACTAAAAAGTCATGAGCATAGACGTGACAATGAGTCTGTCACAAAGCCCTCGTGTTTCACGCTTTAAATCGACTGATTAAATAAATAAGAATTTTTGTGAAACATCTAAAGCTCAATAACATTGCAGCCAAACTCGCACTGTAGTTTCTTGTGCTTATCACACATTTTCGGCGATTGTTCTTATTGTTATTAAACTTATTTGTGCACGCGACGACGACGCAGTGATAGCGAGACAAGCGTAGATTTGGGAATATTAACGAAAGAAGGGGGGGGGGCACTCCGAACTAAGTCAAGCACGACGTCCGCTTCTAAACCTTCTTCTCACCCCGTTCGTGGTGAGGGGTGAGGGGAAGGTGAGGGGTGAGGCTTGACGGATGAGGCAGGTCTTCGCGGACCCCTAGAATGCCTTCACGGACCCCAAAGTGGCCTTGGACCCCCATTTGCGAGCCGCTGCGCTAGGGGGTTGCATACCCTGTGTCAGCGGGGAATCCAAGAATGCATCGTGTCGAGGGTACGTCGGTTACTCGCTAGTATGAGGTTATGCGAAAAATATTTATACGCAGTCCGATCGTCTTAAACAAGCCTGCGAACAACTTCGACTTTTTCGACGCTGCATCATTACACTCGAATGGCGCCAGCTCACTATTTGGGCCCGAGCGAACGCTGAGTGTCTCCGCTGGTTCACCGGACACGACTTCCAGCCGAACGTTAACCCTGCGCTCCTGTCAATTTCTGTCTTCGCTCGATTTCAGTGTGATGACATCCCTACTGAAAACCCCGTATAACTTTCCGCTATCTGGATTATGGAGCTGGAAATCTATCTGGATTCTTTCTCGATTCCATGTTTTCAAAAATTATTCCCTTGCCCGCAATTTGGATTCCAGGTTCTCAGAAAAAATAATCCAGTTAGATTTCCAGTTTCATATTTCAGAGAGTGTAAAGTTATAATGCGTCTCTCGATAGGGATAAAAGTTTAATGCAGAAGCTTTGGGTTATGTTCGATGGGATTATTGAGATGGATTTTCTGGATGGCAAGAAAATCTTGCAGTTATCCATCAGAGCAGATCTCGCCAACGCCCGCTGTCGAATTACTGCGTGTGCCGTTCAGCCTTCGCTTGGAACATATAGAGAACAACCATATGCACAACTTTCCTTGGTAGTGAAGCTAATGCTACATACGCCCGTGTAATCGCGTACATTTGAGCGCCACTCAAAGTTGTATACTGGCGCGATTCATATCTTCAGAAATGTCCCGCGCCTCGGCATGCTCGCTCATGCTGAACGCGAACATTAAATGTAAAATAAAAATAATAATTACAAAATGTACGGATCTCCACGTGGTGAATGATGTTGATTGAGGCGAAGCTCTTGTGGTGCTGATGATACTGATTTTAGTGTTCGTATGTAGGGCTGACGGTGCTGATTTTTGCTTATTGCTCATAGGTAGTGCTGAGTTTCGGGTTGCGTTTCGTCTTTAGTATTACTGCTTTATGGTCGGTGAAATGCAGAGCAAGTGGTTCTTCTAGCGGATCAGCTTGAATCCGCTAGAAGCCGTGGGAACGCATCTCCACCGCTTAAGTCAGCGGTCCATGTCAGGAAGAGAATGTGTGGTATGAATCGTGGTTAGATACGCAGTTGAGCATTTAACCGCAGCGCCTTTTTGTGTATAAACGTTGAGCCAATGGATGCAAAGTTTAACGCGATTATATAAGCATTTGACCGTAGCGCCCTCTCCTGTATACACTCTAAAAAAAAAGGGTATCACCTTACACCCTTTTGTCCCATATAATACACCCCAAAATTTCATTTCGACGTGCAGCGTACTATAGTCGAACAGACCGCACCAAATTTTACCAGGGGCTTGATAACGGTGTGATATAACTTATTAAATTGCTAAAATACATATCAAAAACCAAAGAAAGAAAACACGGAGCTTTTGCAGTACGGCCAAGAAAACTCCGATAATCTTTTTTGTAATCAATAATGCGTACATCAGCTATCTTAATAAGTTGTACCACACGGTAATCAAGCCCCTCGTAAACTTTGGGGCCGCCTGTTCGATTATGAAACGCTGTACGTCGAATTGAAGTTTTTGGGTGTATTATATGGGACAAGGGGTGTAATAGTACACCTTTTTTTCTGAGAGTGTAGACGTTGAGCGGCTACATGCAACGTTGGAGTGTAGCGTAGTAATTAAGACGTCTGTCTCGTAAGTAAGCGGTCCTGAGATCGAACCCACGTGCGGGCGTACGTTTTTTTTTTTTTTAAAAGTGGGGCGATCCCGGAGGCAGTTCAATCCACGTAAGCACGGACGCCAGACAAGGCTAGACCCTAAGGAGCTTCGCCCCTAAAAAAGTCGAAAAGAAATCATTGTTAGTGTTTTGATAGAACACTAAATGTGGTACACCATTTTTTCTAACGCTTTATTAGCGCTGTTGAGCAGATGCTGCAAGATGCTTACGTACCGTTTCGATATTATCAGAACTCAGCCTGCTGTGATTTGTTATCGTTTCGAAAAGTGAGCAAAGCACCCGCTATACGCGCGAACGTATAGTATCGCACCGGCCGGAAGATTGTTGTTTACAAAATGCTGGGCTGTGAAATTCGCACTGTTCAGCATGCGATCTTCACAGCTCAGCACGCACCTGTTCGTCGATTCCGAAAGCGAGCTAAGCGCGCATCGTAATATATGCGTACTTGAGCTGAAAATGGCACCATGGCCAGAAACTCTATTCTACCTACGACCGGGGCTCGTGCACAATCTAACGCTACTCATTACAGGCCTACATCTAAAGTTTGAACGCAGTGGAGAAATGACTAATGCAAAAGTTGCTCTGGGACAATGTATGACAACACGCCGCCGCGTATTCGTAGGAAAACGAATTTCATGCGACAAACAGGCGATGAATGACGTCAATGCCAAGACATGATGCCAGAACATCAATTGATTGAGCTTTGTATGCACAAAAATGACGCACTTGCAAACGCTGAAAACCCGAGTGCACTACCCACGCACAACATCAGCAAATAGCGAGTTCACAAAATACGTTCTAACGGTTTGAATGTGGTTCCAGTCGGAAACCAGAGCCATTTCTCTGATTCGTGTCTCGCGCCGGCCTTTGACACCTGCCGGCCTTTGGCCCCCGCCCTTTGGCCCGCCAGGGGCCAAAGGCTCCTGGCGGATGCCGAGCGAACAAAATCTAGCTCGCCTAGATCGGCGGCGAACGACCCGAGGCCCAAGTTCACACCGAGCGCCCGACTTGCATGCGCAACTGTGAGCGTGCCACTTGTTTGTTCTGTAAACATTCTGCGCCATCTATGACGAAAATGCTAAAGAAGAAATCACGGGTGAATCGCGCTTAACCTAGTGATAACACACACTCAAAGACGAGGAGTAATGTGACGTTTTTTTAGCGCGGCTCGAATCGAAATACTTGGCTATTAGCGTCGTCTTTGCTCGCACTTAATCTAAAACGAAGTACATGGCAAGCTCATGTTCATTTCGAAACATGTGGCATAGTTACCGCAAAGAACTTAATTCGGTTCTAATGTGAAAGTGCCAGTGATGTACTGAATGGTTTGCCAATGCAGAAATATCCTGAATTATTATGTATCCATTTCCCAAGGTTTTTTTTTTATAAAAAAGAGGTTAGATTAAAAATAGAAAACAATATATATACACTTAACAATCTCATTCACGAAAAAACATGTGATGAATAAGGAGTGTCCTTGCGCAATTTAGTAAAGCGTCATAATTGGTCAAATAAGCTCCTCACATGTTCACAAATTATGGTAGGGGCTGAATGGGAAGATTCATGCGCTGCGTTATTTTGTAAAATAGATATTTTCAATCACGACTTTCTGATGGACTTACATGAAAACATCAGAAGAGCCGCCTCTAGAAAAACGAAGAAGTCAACCAAAAGCATGGCGTTGTCTTGAACAGAAATTCAAAGAGACTTGCAGTAATGAGCAAAAAGGATTGATGTTATACGATCGTCGCGATCGTATGTCAGATTATCCCCTGAATCTTTTTCAGACACGAGGCAGATTTCTTTTCTTACGTGATATTTGAAAAGGGCACATATCACTTCCTCGCGAAAAAAGGAAAGGTTATTCCATTGTTCCATTTTTACAACACCACGTCCTTTTCTCCTAAAAGTCAACGGGCATGCATGCGTTTCGTTTTGTGGGAACAAGCAATGATTTTTGTGTGGTATTTATAGAAAGGTCATAGTTTAAACAAAACTCAACGTCGAAACTCCCTTTTCAGTTTGCCGATATGACCTTCAAAGCCCACGATATGTCGAGTGAACCGCTAAATCCGTGAAGATATTTACCACAGGTACAGCGTTAGTGAGAATAAATATAGACAACGGAGTTGCGACCACACAATTTACCTAGCGCGCCTCACCTCGGCAGATGCAGGCAGGATCTAAAGCAAGAGGCCGGTTTATGTCATTTATACGTCGCGAGAGATTTTAAATATCTGATTCGGCGCCGCCTTCAGGCTGTGCTCTTGAGTTGCTGGCAGGAATAATGACGCAGTGTTATCGTAGGTAGTTGTGGCACCGCGGCGACTTGTCGCGCAGTCACAGGAGTTTCGTACGCCTTTAGAGATTCTGCCTACATATTCGTTTATAGTAACGAAACTACATTTCGGTTCAAGTCCGACCGAAGCCGATGCTACGATCTGACAAAACTAATGAAGCAGCGCCAAAAGTGAATTGCCATGGCGCTCGTCGTGTTCGAGTGTTTGTCCTCAACAGCTATAGTGATCACGCACATTAAAAGGGCGGAATGGCGGCGCATGGACCGTCGGTGCTTGGCCTAGACCGTGATAGCAAATGCACAAAGAAGATGTGCGCCCTGACGTACACTTTGGGTACTGTTTGTTTGGCTTCATAGGATTGCATGCGTCGGCTGCGGTCGAAGGTAGAGTAAAACTGACTATATAAAGGGCGTCGTTCTCCAATAAACCTCTGGCACTGTGTCTTGTGCGCATCGATGAAATCATTATGTTGCAAAACCACATTTGCAAGTAGATTCAAAACTTACGCAGTGATGTCAATCCGCACTCCAGGTGAAAGTGCTCAATTTTGCGTGCTCCCGTTTTCGTGTTATCACAGATGTTGCTTTGTTTACGAGGTGCAGCAATTCATCTTCGCACCCACTATAATGCGCCGAGTGCCTCGAAATTGATTTTCTCGCCAGAAAAGTACCACCTTCTCAGCCTGAAGGTTCCGAAGGATCAGGACAGCACGCGCTCTGCTGTTTCGTATTTTATTTGGTAGTAACTGTACGTGGGGAGCGTTTCTTTTCTTTTTACTTAACATTGCCACCCTATCCGCAGTCGGTGTAACGTGCATGATGGTCGGCGATGTTGATGCCTCAACGTTTGCACGCAACATCCTTCTATTACACGAGGAGTGTAAGACAATCAGTTGACATATTTTTTGATAGTCGTAAAAAACCTTCAAATGCAGGTAACAATCATAAAAAACAAGCATTAATTTTATTTGTACTCGCTCAATAGTGGAAGTGTTTGTCTCTCCAATGCTGTTTTAGAAAGCTAAGGAAAATTATGACGGCTTCGGAAAAAATAAGGAAATATAAGAGAAAGGTTGTGGATATTTAGAATTGCTCGATATACGTATTAGGACACCAAGAACCCTTGGAAAAGATTTAACAATTTTTGTGACACCATGATTATAGAAAAAATGTCAGTGTCTAAATATACACTCATATCCTTACTTAGAGACACACGGCTAATAACCGTAGGTTCTAAAACACAGCAGCAGTTGAAACCATCACGCTTTCTGCTGAGCGAAATAACTAGTTCCTGATTCCTTCAATACTAGACCAGTAGTGACCGAAGTATATTATCTACTGAACCAGTAAAAACAAAGCAGATGCCGCAATGATAGTTGCTTGTAGACGACATAAAAACTCCAAGTGGCAACATGGGCGGTCACCGAATTTCTATTGCCCAATCACAAAGCAAATAGCAAGACGTGGATGACTTTTAGTTTAACGACCTTGCTATTCACTTGCCTGGCAAAAAAAAATCAAGGATGCTGAAGAGGACCTTTTTTCAAAACGACATATACGGTGAAATGAAGGTATAACGATATTATAAAAACCCTAAAATGCAATAGTTATAAACGATTATCGTTGTATGTGGACTGGAAACTGATCGTGCCAAAACTACAAACATTAGAAACTGATTGGTATAAGCAGTACATCGTTATATGCGATATCGTTATAAGTCGATTGCAATGTATCAACTTAAGCTCGCAATGATTTCAAGTAGAAGTCTGCGGAAAGAACATTAATTGACGTAAAAAATCAACATTGTTGAAAATATTGAAACAAAAAAATGCTCATATATTGTTTACGTTGAGGGTTAAAAAAGAATCTCATACTGTGATGATTTATGATGAAATATTTAATTATAAAGTGTATAACCAGAGCAAAATATTAATTAAAACCGGTTGTACAGATAGTTACCAATATATGCGCGTAAAGTATAAGCCATATAGAAAAATGATAATGCAACAGCGACAAACGTTTTGTGTATTGTTTTTGCTCGTGTGACAAAAAGCACACAGTGAAACAAAAGGCACATTTTCTTTCTGAAACACTTCTTTCGAGATCTTTTGAAAGTACAAAGACGAGTAAAAATCAATAATTTAAGTTCAAATAAAAGTCAAACTACGTGATTTTTCAGCTAATAAATTAAGGTGTCGACAGTACTATCTGCGTAAGATTCGAAGGCATGTTCCTGATGCAAGTAGCAAAGCAATACTTTTGGAAGGTGCAATTTACTGAGGACCATTTATGGCTGACCTTTGCAAATAGATTCAGTGTTGATTTTTCCCCAGTTATTGTAGTAGTTTTTAGATTGCAAGAAAATATTATCTATTGAAAATTAAAGGGTATTTTACTATACTTCTTTTTACTCAGAAATGCGTTATAATATTTTGCTTTGCGAAGCAATGGCAGTAATTGACTGGAAAATTTTATATTCTGGCAGAAGAAATAGTTACATATGTGCGAAAAATAATAGGGGAGAAAAATTGACATTTTGTCAGGAGCAACTTTTTATTAAATATAATATTCTCAAGTATGGCATTTTGTGTCGAAGTATCACACTGGATGCACGAAAACAGATTCTCTACCACAATAAGAGACAGCCTGAGTTAGTTTGCTTTTCGAGATTTAAAGCAAAATACGCACATAATAATAACTTTGCTCGCTAAGTTCAAAGGTCTTGGTCAATAAACCTTTCAAAAGCAGATAAGCAAGTGTTCTGCTATTGTTTGTTTTTTTGTAGTTTAAAGTTTTGATTGCAAGATGATGCTTGTGGAATGCGAAATTTCGCCGTCATGTTTAACGTATCCTAAGGTTCAAATAAGACTACGATTTTTTTTTAGGTTATTTATATGTAAACACCTTTTTTTGTGAAAATTGCATTCATGGTCTGTGATGTTAAAGTGTGGGAGATTATGTTTTTATTTTTATTTAACGCCATTTTATCGCAAGGTTTTTTTTTAGCTTGTCCAATATTTCTGTAAAATAGCATTGCGATACTTTTTACTTATTTTACAGCACAGGCGGTTTGAAGTTTTGCCATATCTTTGCGTATTGTTAAGAGCTTATAATGGCCGAAGTTTTAGCATAGTTTCCATTTGAGACCATTGCATTTTTAGTTTTTTTTTTTTTTGGGTGGGGGGAAAGTGGGATGGGTATTTCCAACGTTTATGTTTATTTTCATGCACAGGGTGCTGCCGTAGAGAATACAGATTTGACGCGCCTTCAAAGCTTTGAATTCCAGTATTAAATACCTAAAATTGTGCATGCCAACCTAGTTTCGCCAGGAGATATATTTCTATTTTTAGAGCTCAATTCCGAGGAACTGAACTATTAAAACAAAAGCAAAATTGGAAGGCTTGTATTTTCTAAGGAGTGAACGAGCCTGTTTGTCGTCTGCAGACTGGTTTATGAGCTGACTCCCGAGTGATTTGCTGAAGACAAAAATGCTACAACGTAATATCAAAGGCTGGTGCTAAACAAAATAATCGTGATAAATAATAATTTTAATGAAATGTATGAACAATGAGCACCTGGGAAAAAGCTTACAAACCAGTGTGAAGACAATGAACTCCGGTATAGGGTGGGGGCGTTGCTTCCTGTTGCATCACCAACGAGGTCAAGACAGAATTTTCCGCAGCGTCTACACGCCTCAAAAATCCGCTAGGGAGAGAGGAAGAAAAAGGAGGATGACGGACAGGAGCTCAAGAGGTGCGCGCGGAATTATTAGTATGGTCCGACCGAGAGCCGCTAAATGAACTACGCTTAGAGCATTGGCATACTGTTCCCCGCAGTTTTTGTGGCCGCTGCCATCTGGGTGCTTGGTACAGAAGAGACCCAACTGCCAATTGTTATGACTCAAGACTGAGACTTACTCAGCATTAAATTCGGTGCTAGGAAGCCCATGTAGTATTGATTTGCTCTGTCGAGAACTGTTGAAACATTTGCGGAGAACGGAAATGCCGTTTTAGTAATTTTAAATAAAGCTTCATATTGCAAACAAACTGCAATTAATATTCCTCTGTTTATTTATACCTATGGTTGTGGTTGTTGTTCCTGTACAGCGGTTTCTTATGTCAAGGTGGTTAAATACCTGGGCATTTATGTATACAGTGACCTTGCTTGGAATTCTCCTCCCCCCCCCCTCCCCCCTGAGCTCTCTTTGTGGTAAACTCAGAAGTACTGCCTGGATCTTGTATACCTTTAGACAGCTTTCTCCGATCTGTGTGCTCTGAGCTATTTGCAGCAGTCTTACATAAGTTGTTTTAAGATATGGGATTAGGTTCTTGCCAATGGCTCCATGAGAGGGCAAGTTCGAATCGATAATATTCTGCGG